TGTAGGTGTTAACGAGGTCTCCAAGTGCAGAACTCTTTATTGGGTTCAATGGAAAGTAATTGAAGAAGGGACGGCCTCATTCAGTGTTTTCATAACAGCATTGTGATCTGGGACGGTGGCGAGGGAGGGAGTGTGGAGTTTTACCTTGTAGAAAATGGAAATCCAAGTTGGTCCAAAGATTTCATTTCTCCCAATGAAAGTCATTTGAAAGAAAAAAATGGAAACTGCCTCGCCTGGGTCTTATTTCAGCGAATGGGACAATATGGTCTTTAGAAGTGTGCAGGTCTTCTGTCTAGTTAGGGTTTCACTTTGCTGCCCTGCTTTCAAGGGCGCGCAGTGCAGTAAAATGAGGTTAGTACTCACGGCTTGGAATTAGCGAGTTGTGCTCTGTTGACCTTGTCCCACATGGATGGTGGATGTATGTGGTAAAATTCATTAACAACCCTGAAGACTTCCTTCCTTTCCACTCTTTTGCTTTAAATACTATTTTTAATGGTGTTCTTCCCTCTACCTCCAGGTTTCAAATAGTGCTAAAATTTGGGAGCTTTATTTGTGTTGGGCTTTCAGAGAATGCATGTTTTTTTTTAGAGAGAGATTTGTTGCTATTGGGTGCTTGTGCTCGAAGGACAGAGAGAAAGTAAGAAATCACCCTCCTGGGGGATGGCCACTCTGTAGTCCCTTCTCCTCTCTTCTCCCCTTGGGATTTTGGGCACACATGCACTTGCATCCAGTGTGAGGTTCAAGCCTCTGGGTCCTGACTGAAATGCCATCAGCCATGTGGGAGTTCAGCGATGTGACCATTACGCCATCTGCTGGTCCCACGAAGGTGACTCTTGACAGTGCACAGCTCTCAGTAGATCATTTTAAATGGGCCCCATGGGAGAGGGAACAGCCTATCTGGTGTGGACAGAGCCTGGTTGACTTGACTTGGGCCCTGGAGTTCTGTGAGAGCATCCTCCTTAAAGCTGTTACACCGGGACCCACCGGTGGTTGCAAGTTAGGCTAGTTGCCCCTTCTATATGACTGAGTTAGTGTACCTTTTCAGAAAGTAGATGCGAAGATGTTAGTTGCCTTTAGGTGTAATTTAACCACACCAGTTTATGCCAGTCCTGTGATGCAGGATCACTAGCCCCATTGTTAGTAGGGTGCAGAGACTGAGGCAGAGATGAGGTGTGCTGTGTGACCCAAACTGATGTCTCCATACTGTGAGACGGTGGAGCTGGAGTGTGAGCCCCATATTTGCCTTATTCCCAAGCTGATCTTTCATCTACACTGAAATGGCACTTTTCTAGAATTTTCCATATACGGAAACTTGACTATTGATATCTGGAGTGTGGTTTGTTTAGTCATTTACTTGATATTAAAAAAAAGAAAAATTCATCAAATTCTGTAGGGCAAAAGAAAGAATTGGTATTCCCTTTGCTAAAATGAGCCCTCCTGAACCTGGAAGCTAGTGTGGTTTCTGGATGAACTTTCCCACATGCTCAATTCCACAAATATTTGCCGAGCAATTGGTATGTGCCAGGGCTTCCAGTGGTGCTGGGCAAATAAGGGTGAACAATTCAGACTTGTGCCCTGCTGTCAAGGAGCCCATTGTAGTAAGCAGACCTGTGAATAATCCAGACTGGGTCTGGCCTCGGCCTAGTGGTCAACCCACATAATTGACCATGTGGTTTGAGCCCTAGCCCCAGACTTGAAAAACACACCAGGTGTGCGCATGTGCATGCCCCAAATCCTGACAGGATCTAGGGATGGAGGAGAAGGGATTGCAGTTGGGACCATTTCCCATTGTTGGGGAGATGCTTTCACTCTCTTCCTTTTTCTACCTCTCTCTGGCAAGCACATGTGCCCTCTAGCAAATAAGAAAAGAAAATTTTATTGGTCATTTAAGTCTTTTGTTTTAGGAGTTACCTCTTCAAGCCCTTTCTCCATTTTTCTATTACTAGCTTCTTTGGGGGGAAAAATACACACACACACAAACACACACATATAAATATATGTAATAGTGCTTTTATTTACTGCAAATTTGTATTTCCCCCATTTGATGTTTGCCTTTCAGTTTTATTTATAATGCTTTTGGCCTTGAAAGTTTTTTTTTTTTTTTTAAGAGGTTTTTGCTATAGGGTGTGAACTCTCGCCAGAGAGACAGACAAAGCGAGAAATCATCCCCCAAGGGGGGTGGCCACGCCACAATCCCTTCTCCTCCATTCTTCTCTCGGAATCTTGGGAACGCACACACATGCACCTGGAGTTTAAGCCCCCAGGTCTGGGACTTGACCCGCGGTTGACTGGGAGTCCAGCGACATAACCATTACGCTAACTGCTGGTTCCTGGCCTTGAAAGTTCTGAAAGAAATATTCACTTTTTATGTAGTCATACTTACTCCTTTAATTCATTTAGTGGTTTATAGTAGTATGTTTTGTATTTAAATCTTGCAGTTTCCTTGTAATTTATTTCCCATATACTGTGAATTAGGGATCTAACTGAACAGTATTTCCTGTACACTATGTGGGATCTTCAAAAAGCTCATGGGGACCAGCAGGTAGCGTAATGGCTATGTCACTGGACTCCCATGTAGTTGACCGTAATTCGAGTCCTGGACCCGGTGACTTAACTCACGCCGGGCGTGTGTGTGTGTGTGTGTGTGTGTGTCCAAGATCCTGCGAGGAGAATGGAGGAGAAGGGATTATGACATGGCTGTGCCCTCTGGGGGGTGATTACTCGCTTTCTGTCTCTCTGTCTCTCTCTGGCGAGTGCATGCACCCTATGGCAAAAACCTCTCAAAAAAAATAAGCTCGTGGAAAATGCATATTATGAAGAAACTATCTACAGATTTTAAAAACTTTTTGCACTGAAGTTAACTTGTACTAACTTCTTATAGCATGTCTGAACAGGAGCTAGTTTGAGGCACTAAGAAGGGTATAAATTTGAAAGTGACATGAATTC